GAGGGTGGCTACCAGAACTGGTCACATTCCAAATCTAGCCAGAGCAGGTGGTGTTTCCCACCTTATAACTTTTAACCCAGCTGCTAGAGCACTCACATGGGATGTGAGAGACCCAGATTCAATTCCCCCCCCCCCTTGGAGGAGAAGAAGGAATTTGAACAAGGGTTACCCACCTTCAGAAGAGTGCTCTAACCATTGAGCAATGGGATATTCTGATGTGGGGCTCCCTCAGTCTCTCCTGTCAAAGCTGTTCCATTGTGGATAAATAATGAAAGAGTGACTACAGCAGGAGGGCAGGACCTGGGGTCTCCCATCTTCCAGGTGTAGGCCCTAACCACTGGACTATAGGGTCAGTCCCATTCATTCTCTTTCTTTCCCAGTAATGGTTCCAATTAAATAAGGGCTTACAATCTGAGTATAAGACAAGAGACAACAGATGGATACAGACTAATGAGGGGCTACAAGGGAACAGCATTACTCAGCATAATGGGCAGTGATCTTAGCACACCTGCAGCCTAAGTGTTGTCGAGTTTTTGTTGGCATCATGGCAAAGGAGAGTTTTGAGGAGGGTTTTGAAGGAGGAAAATGAGGTAACTGGGGGTATTTATGGGGAGTGCCTCCCAGGCACGTGGGGCAGTAGGGGGGAAGCACAGAAGTATTTGTTTTACAGGGTAACAAGTGAGCAATGGAGGCTGGAGGTTGCACTGTGGGCTGACCAAAGGGGAGCATTGACAGCTTGATAGTAAATGAGAGATGATAGTTGAGTGGGGATAGGCCAGAAAGGGCCTTGAAAGTGAAAAGGAGCTGCTCATGTTTGATGCAAAGGAGACAGAAGGGGGAGCCAGTGGAGGGATTCAAAGATAGGGTTAACATTGTCAAAGCAACAGGCTAGGAAAATGATTTTTGCCGCAGCATTCTCGATGGAGGTGAGTGGGAAAAGATTGCATTCACAGATTCCAAGGCCAGAAGGGATCATTGTGATCATCTCGTCAGACCTCCTGGATAACACAGGCCAGAGAAGTTGCCCAAAATAATTCCCAGAACATAGTTTTAGAAAAAGATCCAATCTTAACTTTAAAATGGTCAGTGATAGAAAATCCAGCATGACACTAAGTTGTTCCAATCATTAATTACTTTCACTGTTAAGTTAATTACTCTCACTGTTAAATGGCTGGCCTTGGGGGCTGGTAATCAGGGCAGCTGCCTTGGGCACCAACTTGCAGAGACACCAAATCAGCACCTGGGTTGCAGGGCACCACATAGCTCAGCTGGTCTGGTCCGCTGGTTTGTTTGCTTTTTGCTCTACCAGTCTGCTCGGGGAAAGAACCAAAAATGATTGCCACCCTTGGTGACAAAACACCTAAGGCCATCCCTGATTACATTTGTCAAGGCCAGAGAGAAAGATGTTGCACTAACTGAGACTCAAGATGTTGAGAACCTGGATGAAAGTTTTAGTTCTATGAATGGATAGGAAAGGCTGTACTTTAGCGATGTTTTCTAGAGAGAATCAGCAAGACTTAGACATAACCTGAATGTGAGGTCCAAGTGGAAGGTGACACACAGGTTACAGGGCTGAGTGAAGGCAGGCTGGTGGTGTTATTCACAGTGAGTGAGAAAGGAAGGGGGAGGGATAGCTCAGTTGTTTGAGCATTGGCCTGCTAAACCCAGGTTGTGAGTTCAATCCTTGAGGGGGCCACTTAGGGATCTGAGGCAAAAATCAGTACTTGGTCCTGCTAGTGAAGGCAGAGGGCTGGACTTGATGACCTTTCAGGGTCCCTTCCAGCTCTATGAGATAGATAGGAGGTAGCAGGTTGGGGCTGGGGGGGGGGGGTAGAGTAAGAGTTCTGTTTTAGCTATGTTTAGTTTGACCTGGTGTGTAGACATCCATAAGGAGATATCACAGAGACACACTGAGATTTTAACTTGGATAGTAGACAGGTGTGGAATAGAGAGGTAGATCTGTGAGTTGTCAGCATAGAGGTGATAGTTGAATTTGTATTTGTGGATTACCTAGAGATAAGGTGTAGAGGGAGAAGAGAAGGTGACCAAGGACAGAGCCATTTGTAACTCCCTCAGAAAGTTGGAGGGCAGATGAGGAGGAATCTCCAAAGGACACACAGAAGGAGCAATTATAGAGGTAGGAGGAGAACCAGGAGAGAACAGTCATGGAAGCTAATGGAGGACAAGATTTCAAGAAAAAGAGTATGTTCAACTGTGTCACAGATGGTTGACAGGTCAAGGAGGATGAGGATGGAGAGCTGATTCTGGGCTTTGACTAGAAAGAAGTCATTAGAGACTTTGGTGTCACAGTTCAGAGTTACTGCGTCTGTATTTCCCTCAATGGTCTCTCGAGGGCACCTACTCTAGGTTCCTCGTTCTGCAGCTGTCACCTCTCTTGGGCAGAGACCCATGTCGCTCTTGGTCATGCCCAGGAGTTTTCCAGGCTGCACAGTTACCTGCCTACACTGTGATATTCCCAGCAGCCAGACTGCCTAAATAGGCTATGAACAGTGTAATGGCCCATAGTTATAAATTACCACACAGCCCTTTGTAAGCAAGCACATTTATTCTTAAGGTGAAAGGATTACAGAGAAAACATAATGAAAACAATGAACGTTTCTAAATGCATGCTAACAGCTTACCAGAAGTCACCCATCATTCTTATGGGGCCTTAGTAGGCCAAATCCTTCCAACCCTTCTGCAGGGATTGGAGTCCCCTCTTGGACGAATGGTCCAGTCCATTTTCTGGATCAGAAAGAAGGCCCAGAGCCAGTTTAAACTCAGGCTATTTATCCAAAAGTCCTTTCTTTGTCCGTTCATCTCTGCAGAGTCCAGTTTGTAAATGTGACCCTCCCCATGATGAGGTACCTCGGGGGAAGGGGGAGGTTACAAACAGGCAGCTTTGCCTAAATCACCACCCATTGTTGGTAGTTCCTGGAGGAGGTCTGGTAGCTCCCCCCATGGAGTAGAACACAATCATACACAAATAAGGCTAGGATTTAGTCACAGGTATTTTTAGTAAAAGTCATGGACAGGTCATGGGCAATAAAAATTCACTGCCTGTGGCCTGTCCATGACTTATACTAAAAATACCTGTGATTAAATCTTGCAGGGGCACTGGGAGGGACTGTGGCTGATCCAGCCAGTTGGCCAGGGACCGCTGCCTGGGGCTGCAGACCACAGCTTATTCGGCTGGCTAGCGGGGGACCATTGCCCAGGGCCCTGGACCGCAGTTGCTCTGGCCAGCTAGGGACCATGGCTGCTCTGGCCAGCCACCTGGTGACTGCTGCCCAGGGCCGTGGACCTCGGCTGCCTCCAGCAGCCACCCAGGGCCAACTGCCCAAGGCCATGGCTGTTCTGGCCAGCCCCCCGGGGACCGCTGCCTGGGTTGCCAGAGCAGCAGCTGGTGTGGCTATCCTTGGGGCCGCTCCAGCAGCAGCTGGTGTGGCTGTTCTGGGGGCCACCTGAGCAGCTGGTCCCGGAGCCAGTTGCTTGGGCGGCCCTGGGTCAGCCACACTGGCCCCTGCAGAAGTCACAGAGGTTGCAGAAAGTCACGGAATCTGTGACTTCTGTGACCTCCATGACAAACACGGAGCCCTAGACATAAACTATTAATTTAAAACAATGGAGCCCGAAGAAACTTAAACTTAATTCAGTCAGGACTCTCAAGGATAGGAAGGAAATTGCCTTATCTGTGACATCTCCATGTAAAGAAGTGAGTGTAACTAGGGCTTTTGACCAGTAGTCTAGAGGAACCCATTGGTTTATTTCCTGGATGGCATTTCTGCCAGGACCTTTCGTACTTTCACATTTCAACTATTCAGGTAATAAACATTCTGCTAGCAAGCCAGCATACATCTTCTCATTTGACAACTATCCAGTATCATTTTTCTCTTTAGAATCTATCAGGCAGAGCTGTCACATGCCGCTGCTTACCCTTATTACCCAAAATCACTTGGGTGTGAACTTGAGACCTGATTTACCTCCCACCTGGTTTCTAGGGCATGCGTATGATGTTCCTTTGTCCCTCCAGGGTTCCCCAGCCTCCCTGGAAATAATACATGAGCATTACTTTGGACCAAAGAGAGAAATCATGTAGAGCACCTTGCCTCCTTCTGAAGTGGCTCTCAGCCACGCCCTATTTTAACAGCAGAGGGTTCACAGCAGGAGAAATTCCTTAAACCCCATAGTCAAATTCCATTTTCTGCCCCACGTCCTCAGAGCTTGGGCCTTGGGGACTCCAGTGGTTTAACCTCAGCTTCTCTGGGATGAGGTGGAGGAGTATCCATCCCCTACCCACTGGGGTGGCCTTTTGTTCCCCACACACTGAGCCAAGGTGAGCAGAATTCCCTCTCCAACCTGGCTCAGGGTCTTTTACATTTTTACAGCCCATCAGAGACTATGGGAAGAAGTTTCCCTTCCTCTCCCTGTTACCCTGGAATTGAGGAGAGTGTTACCCCAAAATTTAACTGAGCTAATTGCAGCCATGTTGCGTGCATTCAGCCACCATTAATTAATAAAATAAAACACCACATAGTTAAGGGATAATTTGGACAAGCAGGGCTTTTGGAGACAAGGTCAAATACTAGCCCAGGCTTGCAGTTTCTGCAAATCTGAATGAGAGGAGGGCAGCTCTCCTAATTCCAGTGACTCCCATGGGACTGTTGGGTGCTGAGCACTTCTGAAAGTTTGACAGTTTTAGTTTATGTTTCTTATGATTAGCTTCTCTTGGGCTGCATTTCCATATTCTGAAGGATACCCTGGTCCATTTGCATACCATACTTATATGTTCACAAATATTGCTGATAATTGCTTACACCATATTATCTGAAGTTTAAAATACAGTTAATACCCTTTATAGTCCTATATGCAGAAGCTCTCCAGCTATTGTTCTGAAAACGTGGTATTTACGTAGTGTCAGCAATGATCTGTTAGTGCTGAATCCAGCTATTGGTCATTAGAATACAATTCAGTGACTGACATTCATATTATCTTATCAGGTAATTGAAGAAATTGAGGAGATGATGCAGAATTCCCCAGATCCTGAAGAGGAAGAGGAGATCTTGGAGGAAGATGATGGAGGAGAAACTTCCTCTCAGGCTGATTCAGTCCTGTTGCAGGAGATGCAGATTTTGACACAAACCTTTAACAACAATTGGTCCTATGAAGGTGAGGACATGTGGGAAGGGCAGAGGGAGACTTCAGTTTGGGGCTTAGGAAAGTTGAGGTTGTTCATGTTTTCACTAGGATACTATTCAGTTCTCGCAGTTGCTGTTGTTATAATACAAGGTATTTTAAGACTTGTTTGAATAAATGTCTCTTTCATCCATATTGCATGGACCTCTCCCTATAATTCTATTGTCAGGTGTGCTAGATAGATCTGCTAAGATAGAGTTTGGTTACTGGGATACCACGAGGAAGCACGAGCAGGAGAGCGCAAGAGAGGAGGACTCCTGCCTCATACTGAGAAAGCAGGATGATCAGTGAGTTATCTTAAGTGCCTATACACAAATGCAAGAAGCCTGAGAAACAAGCAGGGAGAACTGGAAGTCCTGGCACAGTCAAAGAATTATGATGTGATTGGAATAACAGAGACTTGATGGGGTAACTCACATGACTGGAGCACTGTCATGGATGGATATAAACTGTTCAGGAAGGACAGGCAGGGCAGAAAAGGTGGGGGAGTTGCACTGTATGTAAGAGAGCAGTATGACTGCTCAGAGCTCCAGTATGAAACTGCAGAAAAACCTGAGAGTCTCTGGATTAAATTTAGAAGTGTGAGCAACAAGGGTGATGTCATGGTGGGAGTCTGCTGTTGACCCCCAGACCAGGGGGATGAGGTAGCCGAGGCTTTTTTCAGGCAATCAACAGAAGTTACTAGATCACAGGCCCTGGTTCTCTTGGGAGACTTCAATCACCCTGATATCCACTGGGAGAGCAATACAGCTGTGCACAGACAATCCAGGAAGTTTTTGGAAAGGGTAGGGGACAATTTCTTGGTGCAAGTGCTGGAGGAACCAATACCGTGCTCCTCTTGACCTGCTGCTCACAACCAGGGAAGAATTGGTAGGGGAAGTAGAAGTGGATGGGAACCTGGGAGGCAGTGAGCATGAGATGGTTGAGTTCAGGATCCTGACACAAGGAAGAAAGGAGAGCAGCAGAATACGGACCCTGGACTTCAGAAAAGCAAACTTTGACTCCCTCAGGGAACTGATGGGCAGGATGCCTTGGGAGGCTAATATGGGGGGGAAAGGAGTCCAGGAGAGCTGGCTGTATTTTAAAGAAGCCTTATTGAAGGCGCAGGAACAAACCATCCCGATGTGCAGAAAGAATAGCAAATATGGCAGGCGACCATCTTGGCTTAACAGAGAAGTCTTTGGTGAGCTTAAACACAAAAAGGAAGCTTAAAAGAAGTGGAAACTCGGACAGATGACTAGGGAGGTGTATAAAAATATTGCTCGAGCATGCAGGGGTATAATCAGGAAGTCCAAAGCACAACTGGAGTTGCAGCTAGCAAGGGATGTGAAGGGTAACAAGAAGGTTTTCTACAGGTATGTTAGCAACAAGAAGGTCAGGGAAAGTGTGGGACTCTTACTGAATGGGGGAGGCAACCTAATGACAGACGATGTGGAAAAAGCTGAAGTACTCAATGCTTTTTATGCTTCGGTCTTCACAGACAAGGTCAGCTCCCAGACTGTTGCATTGGGCAGTACAGTATGGGAAGGAGGCAAGCAGCCCTCAGTGATGAAAGAATAGGTTAAGGACTATTTAGAAAAGCTGGATGTGCACAAGTCCATTGGTCCAGATGCAATGCATCCAAGGGTGCTGAGGGAGTTGGCTGATGTGATTGCAGAGCCATTGACCATTATCTTTGAAAATTTGTGGCATTTGTGGGAGGTCCCAGATGATTGGAAAAAGGCAACTATAGTGCCCATATTTAAAAAGGGGAAGAAAGAGAACCCGGGGAACTACAGACCTTACTTCAGTCCCTGACAAAATCATGGAGCAGGTCCTCCATTTTGAAGCACTTGGAGGAGAGGAAAGTGATCAGGAACAGTCAACATGGATTCACCAAGGGCAAGTCATGCCTGACCAACCAGATTGCATTCTATGATGAGATAACTGGCTCTGTGGATATGGGGAAAGCGGTGGATGTGATATATCTTGACTTTAGCAGAGCTTTTGATACGGTTTCCCACAGTATTCTTCCCAGCAAGTGAAAGAAGTATGGATTGGATTAATGGACTATAAGGTGGACAGAAAGCTGGCTAAATCATTGGGCTCAACAGGTAGTGATAAATGGCTCCACATCTAGTTGGCAGCCTGTATCAAATGGAGTGCCCCAGGGGTCGGTCCTGGGGCTGGTTTTGTTCAATATCTTCATTAATGATTTGGAGGATGGTGTGGACTGCACCCTCAGCAAGTTTGCAGATGACACTAAACTAGGAGGAGTGGTAGATACGCTGGAAGGTAGGGATAGGATACAGAGGGACCTAGATAAATTAGAGGATTGGGCCAAAAGAAATCTGATGGATGGAAGAATCCCATGCATTGCTACAGGCCGGGGACTGACTGGCTAAGCGGCAGTTCTGCAGAAAAGGACCTGGGGATTACAGTGGACGAGAAGCTGGATATGAGTCAGTGTTGCCAAGAAGGCTAACGGCATATTGGGCTGCATTAGTAAGAGCATTGCCAGCAGATCGAGGGAAGTGATTATTCCCCTCTATTCGGCACTGGTGAGGCCATATCTGGAGTATTGTGTCCAGTTTTGGACCCCCCACTACAGAAAGGATGTGGACAAATTGGAAAGAGTCCAGAAATGATTAGGGGGCTGGGGCACATGACTTATGAGGAGAGGCTGTGGGAACTGAGCTTATTTAGTCTGCAGAAGAGAAGAGTGAAGGGGGGATTTGATAGCAGCCTTCAACTACCTGAAGGGAGGTTCCAAAGAGGATGGAGCTAGGCTGTTCTCAGTGGCAGCAGATGACAGAACAAGAAGCAATGGTATCATTGCTTAAGTCCCGGCTTGAAAAAGCCCTGGCTGGGATGATTTAGTTGGTGTTGGTCCTGCTTTGAGCAGGGGGTTGGACTAGAGACCTCCTGAGGTCTCTTCCAACCCTAATCTTCTATGATGCTGGGGTTGGTTCCCACAAAGGGATAAGGTCTGAGTTGCCTATAACTCTTGAGAATTGATTTAGCTAGCTCTTCCTAAATCCCTGTATGATGCAGCCCCTTCTCACCCCAGTGTAGTCCCCTGCCAACCCCTTCAGATAACATTGAGTTGAAAGCAGAGAGCCAGTCTCAGGCAATGCAAGGCAGCAACTATGTGGTTCATTTGCCGAGATCCCAAATCACTGATTGTACCTGGCTTTAGGTCTGCATTTGCTTTTGAATCCTTATTGTTTAATTATTGTAATTGTTCCATTAGATTTACCATTGGGAGACTTGGGCTCTTTCACAAGGTTGTTATAACTTTATATTTGTTATAGCTAGAGCTGTTGTAACCCCTATAATTAAGGCTCCTGAAGTGTCACCCCTCTAACCTCCTGATTTCTATGGCTTCCAGCTTTAGGGCTAGAATTGCTCGTGTCCTCTGTCTGCATGAGGGTGGGTGATTTTTTTTTGTATGAAGTTGAGTAAACACCAGTTCATCAATTCTTGAGAAAGAGGAAAGTTAAAAAAGAAAGTGCACTTTGGCCATTAGAAAAATGTATTTGCCACAACCAGGATTACATCCTTTATGTCAAACATAAACCAGCTGTCTAGGCAATTTTTCAGTACAGTCACTATAATAACTAAGCACTTCCTAAGAGTAGAAATGTGGTTTGAGCATTGGCCTGCTAACCCCAGTGTTGTGAGTTCAATCCTTGAGGGGGCCACTTAGGGATCTGGGGCAAAATCAGTACTTGGTCCTGCTAGTGAAGGCAGGGGGCTGGACTCGATGACCTTTCAAGGTCCCTTCCAGTTCTAGGAGATAGGATATCTCCATTAATTAATTTATTTAACTACAACCATGATATTGCCCTTCTTCCTGGCTGATGAGAGACCAAGAGTTAGGTGTGGGGGGTTGCATTTTAAATATAGAAGGGGATGAGTGAGACAGCTTAGGCAAAGAGGGAGGTTTGCAATTAGCTCTTATGTCATCAATGTCCATGGTCATTGTTATTTTAGCTGGCAGTGAGTTCCTTGGTCCAGGTGTGGTGAAAATTCTGTCTGCCACACCCACAAGCCTCCACAAGTGGTCACAGTTTTATTATTGCACTGCAAAGTAGCTCTTAGGGAAGGTTCCAATCATGCAAGGAGAGAGAGGGTGTCTTTCAGATAAGTAGGGCCAATTCCATTCAGGGCTTTGAAAATCAGGACTGAGAACTTTAATTGGACACGGTGTTTGAGATGAAGCCCATGCACATAGCAGTGTGATGTGTTCCTGCTATGTGTTGCTGCATATTACATCCTGTCCTACACAGCATGTTATCATATTTAAATGATATTCTTACAGGCCATTAAAAACTGACTGAAAATAAAAATGTATTGAAATATACACAGACTCAGGAGACTTGAACCTCATCCATATACATGATAATCGCTCTGTATTAAACAAGTCTTTCCTCAGAATGGTGAGATAAATTCCAGTTACCATTCTAGCTACCTCTGAGATTGAGGTAAACTGGTCAGGATTACTTGAGGCCCTGTTTGTGTGATACCCAACAAGTAGGGTACTTATGCAGGAGTCAGATTCAAACCCCCTGTTCTAAAGCAAGAAACTGAACCTAGATCCCTTTCACTACTAAAGGACCTTAACCACTAGGCTACTGCATATTCTATAGGTATAGTGCCTCAATCTCTCCTGCTGGAGCTGTTTCACTTTGTGTAAATAATTGAACATTTAGTTGACCAAGGACATGAACCTGATTCTCCCACATCTCCCATGAGTGCCCTAACCACCAGAATATCGAATTAATCTCTCACTTTCTTTCTCTCTCCCAATTAATATGTAATTATTGCTTCAACAGGAGAGATTGAGAGAAACTTAGTCCAGCATATACAATTGTTAGTGGGGGTTGGTCGCGCTATTGTGGGGAACTTTCATGGCTTATGCACTACCCTGGTGGAATCAGTGAGCAAAAGGATCTGAGTCCTTGCTCCAACTCCCTTTACCTAGAGGCATGCCTGAACTCAAGGACTCCTCTTCCACTCTTGTGTGTGGCAGAGTCCTCGTAATCCCAACAAGGCTGGACCCAGGATTCCTGGGGGTCTTAACCCCCAGTCTTATTGTGGCTACTTAGGACAGGGGCTAGGGTGTCCCTACTCCGTGTACTCTCTCTGCACCAGATGGTTCCCTGACCCACTGATCATTATATATAGTTCAGACCAAATACAATTTATTAAACAACAGCTGTAAAAAAGAAGGAAAAAATGGGAAAGGTTAAAGGAAACAAGTAACCTGCTGTATGGGCCTGGGGACACCACAAACAGCTGTCTCTGGGATGTAAGAAAATTCAGGCTGCTCCTCACACATCCCAGATTTCCCTTCCACGCCCTGGCTGTGCTGTGGTGATACCAGGGGTAGGACACCTATCCTGGTAGTGTCCACATGCCCTCAGCCTAGAGTCTAGGGGGCAGGACCCTTCTCCCCAGTATCAGCCTCCTGTCTGGGTCATGTCCCTCCTCCGAGTCCAACTTTCAAGGTCCTCTTGTCTGGTGACGTCTCCCAGCCCTGGGCCCTCTGCCCACGGTCCTCTCCCTAGTTGCTCACCACATTCTGCTGTAGTGTTACTTGAGGCATGGCCAGCATCACTATCCAGGCTCTGGTCCTGCAACTCAGCCCTGGCTCACTGTTGGCGTGGCTGGTCTGCATTGCTCCATTGCTCCAGCTCCCGCTCCCCCTCCTCTGGCTCTGTGCTGCTTCTCTGCTTCCAGTTCAGCTTGGGCTGCTACTCTCCCCTTAGCTCTGCCCTACTCTGGCATAGGCAGCTGCTGCTCACATGGAGGACGGGCCCCTGAGGCTCCTGACTCCCTCATTGGCCAGCCTGCCCTGGCAATTGGGCTGACCTGGAACACTGGCCTCTCGCTATTGGCCCTGGGGACTATCAGTCTCATTTCTCATTGGCCCTTCCCTTTTTTTTAAAGAACTGAGAGAGGGTCAACCAAACCCCCCACTAAGTTTCAGTAAGGGGCCAACAGCTCCCTTTCACAATGGCACTGTGGTGAGGGCCCTCAGCTGGGTGGTAGAAGTCTAGCCTCAAGTCCCTGCTCCAAAGCAGGTGTTTGAACGGGGGTGTCCCAAACACCAGGAGCGTGTACTGACTACTGGGTATCTGTGCTTTCTAATGACATAATGCTGCCTTGGCATAGGTGCCTAACTCTAGAAGAGTGTTTATAGCTGAGACTCCTCAGCAGAGATAGGTGCCTAAATACCTCTGTGAATCTGGGCTCTCCACCCCACCCCTTTGCTCCACATTTTGCTGCTGGCTAGCTTAGCTGGCTGTATGCTCAGTTTACTGGTGGGTGAGGATCTCATTCTTAGGTACCAAACTCTTCCCAGGCATTATCTGGGGGGCCTGCATAGGAGTTGGGTGTTTGCAACACGTAACTCCTTTTCGAGATCTAGCCCCTAAGTGCTTTTGAAAAATGTACCCACTGTTCTGTTGATTCAGAAGGCTACCAAAGCACCTTACAAACGTGTACATATATATATGTTACTTTATCACTACTGAAATGCAGTTGTCTCTGAAATGCAGAAAAAAACATCTTTTTAACAGCATGCAGCAACTTTGCACAACATTTTTCAGCAGGAATTAGAATGAATTTATATCAAGTGGAAATTACAGGGGGGACGTCAAAGAACCAAATTAATTACCCAAATTGGCATTTCTATCTAGCCATTCTCAGGTATTAACTGTAGTATTTAGGCATTATTTTGGCCAAGACATCAGTTTTAACATCTATTCTTTGCAAAAGTGCCATGGTATTTTTAATAACTGCAAGTGGTCAGCACAGCAGGTTTTACATCTTATCTGAAAGCTGGCTCCCCCAGTGCCTAAAGCCCCCTACTGCCTTGGGGGAATATTGCTTCAATACTGACTGCTGGGGCAAAAGGACGTTGGTGTCACAACACTCATCATTGCAGTGCCTAACTTTTAGATGCCTTGCCACCCAATGGAGTCCACAGTCCTGAGTTAGGTGCCCAGGCTCTCTGTACAATGCACATGGAGCGATAGGTGCCTAAGAATGGGATCTGAGCCAGGAGCTCCCTAAACTAGCCAATAGGAAATGCTGAGGAGAGGAGTCTGGCCTAAGCCCCACCACCCCAAAGGAGTTAGGCACCTAAATCCAGGTTAGAGGGAGGCACTCTCTCCGTCCAGGATTCACAGCTGTGAACCCTCTCCTGGAGTTAGGTCTCTAACCCCTTTCTCACAAGGACAAGGAAGTGGTGCCCCTCTTATGACTTTTAGACCAGTGACAGAGCACTGAGCCAGATGTGGGAGACCCAAGTATAGGCTGCCCTTTCTCAGACCCTCTTCCACTTCCCCAAGGACTCCCCTTTTAAGTGGCAGGGGCTCTGGCCTCTGTTTCTCTCTGGAGTAGGATCCTCCAATCCAGCCACTCTCTGACTGGGTCTCTGGGTTACACCTCCCAGGACACCAACTGTGTTATCCAGCAAGTCCGACTGAGCAAGGACCCTGCCAGACTTCTCCTCTGGGGGTCTGTGCTCAGTGACACAGAAGCAGCTTCTCCAGAACAAAGGATGCCTTATTTTGCCCAAATGGTACATGATGCTTCGAGAAGCTGATTTAAAAATAACAGAGACCTATACACATATTGTCTTACCTATGCTTGGCATGCCCCTCAAGCCCCTACATAGATATGACTTTGTCCCCTATTCTTATTGGGCACCAAGTTACAGCTTGCTTGCTGCAGACCCTGACTCACAGTCAATCCCTGTGTCAGCTTCCAGCAGGCTAACTTGCTGTCTCTCTATCAAACTCCAGCAGAGCTGAGCTGACCACTTGCCCCCTCCCTATCTGCCAGTGGCACCTTTTAAACCAATCCAGGGCTTTTGATCTTTTAGGGTCTCAGCCTGGACAAACCAAAGCCTGGTAACTTTTCTGGCACCTGGAAGTATCATCTCCCAGTAATAGCCACAATATTCTCTAAGCTCTGTTGTTGATTTACCTTTACTGGGCTCTTTAACAACCCCCCTTCTGAGCTACCTATGCATCCAGATGAGGTAATACCACACTTATTTACAAAGAAGAATGCAATTAGTGCCTAGTTTGCCAACCAGGCTCAGTTCCTCCTTCTGCCTGATGTGGAGCAAGGACATGAATGTAGGTTTTACCCCTTCTGGAAGAATGCCCTAACCACCAGGTGTGGGGTATTCTGATGGAGCTCTTACCCTGTATATAAACAATTACATAGGCACTGAGGCAGGGCAACTGTACCATGAATCTCCCAGATGATTTCCCTAGTCACTGGGCAGTAGAGTTATTCTCCCTCTGTTGATCTTGTCCAATCAGGGGCGGCTCCAGGCACCAGCGAAGGAAGCATTCCGTCCATTCTTGGGACGGGGGGCGGCATAGTCTGGGCAGTTTTTTTTTTTTTTGCTTGGGGCGGCAAAAATGGTAGAGATGGCCCTGTGTCCAATGTATAATTATTTTTACCCAGTGGAACAGCTTCCTCAGGAGAGACTGAGAGTGCCCCCCTGTAGAATTCCATGTAGCCCAGTAGTTAGGGCACTTTCCCAAGAATTCCATGTAACCCAGTAGTTAGGGCACTTTCCCGAGAATGGGGGACACCCAAGTGCAAATACCTTCCCCCCATGTGGCAGAGAGGGGGAATTAAATATGAGTCTCCCACATCCTGGGTGAATGCAGTAATCACTGATCTAAAGGTCATAAGGGTGGCGCCACCTCCTCCTCTGGTGGCCATTTTATGTGATTAAGTGGGCTCTGAGAACTCCGACCAAATTGGGCCCCTCAGGAAAGATAGGTGCGGGAACACCTAGATAGGTGCAGGAACATTGGGGCTTAGGCATGAGATAAGTATGAAGGTTCCTAGACTGTGCATGCTTCCTGGTAGGGTTTTATGGACCTATGGATTTTAGGTGCCTACAGAGTTAGGAGGCAGCTGAGTGGGGGGGTTGAGGATCTCAGTGGCACCTAAATGTTGGACTTATGTTGCAAATAAGCACCTCGCCCAAAATGTTTCCTACTTCACCACCAACTCCATTTCCTGCAGTACCCTGGCTTTTCATTGAAGGTCTGAGCAGGACCAACCCTGCTTAGTTTGGTGCTACCTCAGCCTAATGAAATTTGGCTGAAGCCATTCTTCTGGAAACCGGCGGGTTTTATAGTCGTATAAAGTGATATACTTAATTTAGCAGTTTTGTACCAATGAACATGAATCATAATTTAAGCAGCCAGGCTTAGAAGTGCCATGTCTCTGTGGCGCTGGTTGAGCTTTTCTGACCTTCCACTCACAAGACACAAAATCTCTGCCCCATATTACCCATTTGCATCCAGTATTTTTAAATGAATGTGTACTCTTCTGATTGCGAAGGTTTGGAACAGATGTCAGTGTCTGAGTTGGCCGAGCTGCTGGATCACGTGGAGGGTGCCATCCGTGACTACTCAGAAGAGCTGGTGCAGCAGCTGGCTCGTCGAGATGAGCTGGAGTTCGAGAAAGAGGTGAAGAACTCCTTCATCACAGTGCTGATTGAGGTCCAGAACAAGCAAAAAGAGCACAGAGAGCTCATGAAAAGGAGGAGGAAAGAGAAAGGACTGAGTCTGCAGAGCAGCCGAATAGAAAGGGGCACCCAAATGCCTCTCAAGGTATGTGAGAAATCCCCATGTGCAGTGAGACATTGCAAAGAGTAGATAGGGGTGATCATGGCCATTCTGGAGAGCAGGGGAAGCTATCTCTTTAAAGAGATAGGTATGAAATGGGCGCTCCTAATAATCGGAAGTAATCTTCAGATTATTTAATTTAGATAAATGTATCAATTTAAAGTAAAAGCCGCCTTCCCCCCCAGAAGAATGGAGTCTGGAACAGCAAGCAACTCAGCCTTAATAGTCCCTATTAAAATCATTTCCACACTGCTGGTTTCCATGCATGAGAACTTTTCACACTTTCACAGAGACTCTACTGATTTATATTTACAGGTAACCAAAGCTACTTAGTCAGAATAACTGCGGCTAAAAAAATATGCTGATCTCAGAGAAATCATGAGAATTCACACCCAGTGTTCTCCAAATGTCTAAAAACGTGCATTAATACCACTGCTTCTCAGGCCCGGTCTACACTACAAAGTTAAGTTGACATAAGTCACCTTTCGTTGATTTGTTTGTGCATGTGTCTACACTCAAATTTGTGTCCCGCCGACATAAGCACCCATCAAAACCACCTCCCCAAACAGAAATGAGTCATTGTTGATGGACTGTGATCAATGCAGTGTGAGTGTAGACACTGTGTGACCTATGTCAGCTATAACAGACCTCCAGCAGCTGTCCCACAATGCCCAACACTGACCACTCTGGTCACAATTGTAAACTCCACGGCCCAGGGGTCACAGAGACTGGAAGCCCCCTCCCACCCTTAAAATCACCCTGTGTATTTATGAAAGACTGATTGCCCAGCTTGGCAAGCACACCTAGCAGCTCTCCCTTGTTGTGTGCAGCTGCCCAACCAACCATTCCAGCTACACGCTCCAGACGTACTCCTGCCTGCAGTAGACAGGAGGTATTGAATCAACTGGGCCTGTGGGGAGAAGAAGCACAGCTAAGGAGTAGTCGTAGAAACATGGACATCTATGAACAATTTGCACAGGGGATGTGGGCAAAAGGGGTGTAACAGAGATCAGCAGCCGTGCCATGTGGAAATTAAGGAACTGAGGGGGCCATACCACAACACTCAATTTGGTGCTGAGCCACAGACCTGCCACTTGTATGACAAGCTGCATGCCACACTTGCCAGAGACCCCACCAGCACCCAGCAGCCCACTGCAGATACCTCGGTGGAGCCCAACACACAGAACCCTGCTGTGAACAGCAACGAGGAGGAGAAAGGACACATGGTGGGAGGGTCCAGCTACGCTGCAATCCAGGACCTGTTTAAGACTCCACCGCAGTCTAGCTGATCTCACCAGCCAAGCACGGATGAGCCCGATCCAGGGGAAGGAAACTCGGGTAAGTGTGTGCATGCATTTTCCCTTTGGAAATGGGGAAACATAAAGATAAGCCTGGGCCATCCTAAGTTACCAAAGACATATGTATCAACTTTTCATTGTCTTATACATATGAGAAGAAGTGGCAGTACAGGTAGAGTTGATATCTGCTCATTCCCAGTGCGGGGTGTGCAAAGCAATTTATTGATGCACATAGGAATGTCCCTTCTGTCCTCCTGAGAGATTTCGATGACACTTTCCTGGACAGACTCTGCAGTCCTCTCCCACAGGTTTCTAGGGAGGGCTGCCTTCTTTCTTCCTTCATGGTAGGACATTGTCCCACACTACTCTGCAATAAGTTCAGCTGACACCATTGCAGTAAACTAGTGGCATATTGGCCCAGGTGGCTTCAGGACGCCAACAGCAGCTGTGTTCTCTGTGCCTTTGTTACCCTCAGGAGTGTGATTTCAGTAAAAATCACCCCAGCCTGTGGAAAACAGTGCCAATTTTCAGTGCCAATGCCCTATACTTATACCCATAAAAATAGAGACCAAATTGTTTCAGCAACTGAAAATGTTAATGCCCTCCCCTCCCCCCTCATGTGACCACTCATAGATGATACTCACTATGGCTGGGATGGAGAGCTGTGCTATGCAGAGATGCACCACAGCTGAAGTGCCAAGAATCATGTCTTATTAACATTTTTTATGGGAATGAGGGAAGGCAATTGTTGTTGTGACTGTAAATACAATGTTACATGTCTGTTTTATCTATAGCTGCTGCTGTTGAGGGCTTGAGGGGTACCCTCTTCATACTCATGGAACACCTGACTCTGATGTGAAGGAGAAAGAAGAGGAGATCCTACGAGCCAGTGCTGAATTGGAACACAGACAAAGGGCCTGGCTGGCCAATGGCAGAAGGCATGTAGAGGGATAGAAAGAACATGGGGAAATGGAGAAAGACCCAAGAATCTCATCAGGAAAAGGAGAGGGAGATGCACCAGGACATAATGGGGCTTCTCAGGTAGCAAACACATATGCTGCAAATTCTAGTTGACCTAAAGGTCCAACAATCATGGATTTGCCACCCTTTGCAGTCCCTGGAGACGTCCATAGTGGCATCTTCCTACACCCTGCAACAATCCACTTGGAACCATGGGTCACATACGTACCCCACCACTCCACGCTAGCAGACAGTAAGGACAACTGCAACTTCACATACAGCATTGACCTACAAGAGGCACGGCTGCTGTATGTGTAGCTAAAATGGACTGCATTTGTGCACTGAAATGACACCTGGCAGCTGCCTTTCTAAATCTTTGCTGCCTTTTTAAATTTAAAGTTCTGTTTAGTTAATTTATGTTTGAAATTTGTATTGTGTTGTCCTTTTTTAGCTGCACATTTTTTCACTGTTTTCACCAGTCAATAAAATTCTATTTTTGAAGACAAATTCATCTTTACAAGTTCATCACACCTATTGCAGAATGTATAGAAGTACTCAAAGCATCCAGTACTTGTGGTTGGGAAAGAATGTCCCTTTTTGCAGCTTTCTGAACGGTCCTGTGTTCTTAAAGATGACAGCATCATGCACCTTCCCTGACCAGCTCACACTAATATTGGTGAAGCATCCCTGGAGATCCACCAAGTCTTGCATAACCATAGAAAAGTAGCCCTTTCTGTTGATGTATGCTATAGGAAGGTGGTCTGGTGCCAATATGTGTGCTGTCTATTGCTCCACCACAGTTCAGGAACCGCACTGTTGCAAATCAGTCCACTATGTTCTGCACATTGCTGAGGCTATGTCTACACTACACAGCTTTTAGCGACATGACTGTGTCCCCAAAGTGTGCCACTAAAAGTCATGCAGTGTAGCTGCTGTTTGTCGGCTCTCCTGCCGACAAAAGACGTCTACCCCCAGTGAGTGGCATTCGCATTGTCAGCAGGAGAGCGCTCCTGCCAACAACGCGCTGTTCACACTGGCACTTGCCACAGCAAAACTTTTGTCTTTCGGGGCAGGGGGTTTAACACCTCTAAAAGACAAACATTTTGGCATTCACTGGCCGGTGTAGACATGGCCTGAGAGTTGCAGTCCTACATAGCAGGACATGATTAATGGCCCTACCCAACTGCATGACAGCTCTCCCCAATGTGGATTTTCCAACTCCAGAATGATTTCCCTCTGACAGTTAGCAATCCGGCATTGCAAGCTTCTAGAGCAGAGGTGGGCAAACTATGGCCCGTGGACTACATCTGGCCCGTGGGACCATCCTGCCCAGGTCTTGAGTTCCTGGCCGGGGAGGCTAGCCCTCAGCCCCTCCCCTGATGTGCCCTCTCCCACGCAGCCTCAGCTTGCCGTGCTGCCAGCGCTCTGGCAGTGTGGCTGGCTCCAGCCGGGCGGTGGGGCTGAGAGCTCCTCCTGCTCTGAGCGGCATGGTAAGGGGGAAGGGAGCGGGGGGGGTGTTGGATAAAGGGCAAGAGGTCCCAGGGGCAGTCAGGGGACAGGGAGCAGGGGGCAGAGGTTATGGGGGTGGTGGTCAGGGGACGAGGAAAAGGGGGCACTTGGATAGGCGTGGGAGGACCTGTCAGGGGGTGGGGGTGTGGATAGGAGTTGGGGCAGTCAGGGGACAGGGAGAAGGGGAGGGGTCCCAGGCAGCTGTTAGGGCAGGGGGTCCCAGGAGGGGGCGGTCAGGGGACAAGGAGTGGGGGTATTGGATGGGTTGGGGGTTCTGAGGGGGGCAGTCAGGGGGTGGGAAGTGGGAGGGGGAGGATAGGGGGCGGGGTCCAGGCTGTTTGGGGAGGCACAGCCTTCCCTACCTGGCCCTCCATACAGTTTTGCAACCCCGATGTAGCCCTTGGGCCAAAAAGTTTGCCCAGCCCTGTTCAAGAGTGTGATCACCGCTTGCTTCTCAACTGTCAACACAGTTCTCATTCTGGTGTCTATGTGCTGGAAGGCTGCGGCGAGCTCAGGCACAGATCCTGGAATGTGGCTTTTTGCATCTGAAAGTTCTGACTGCTCATCATCCCAAACCTGCATTATGAGGTGATACCACCAGTTAGTGCTCGTTTCTCAGGCCCAGAAGTATTGCTCCACTGTGTGAAGCTGCTCTGTGAATGCCGCTAAGAACCTTGAATTGTTTTTCGCTGTGTCCTTTAGCAATCTGTCCTCGAAGAAATCATCATGCCCTCCACTGTTGTAGTGTTTCCTGATAATACTGAAGAATCATGTGTCCTGTATTTGCAACACTCATGAGAATAGTTCAGAGCTGGGTCGGGTCCATGCTTCTGTCAAAGATGGTGGACACTGAACAGTGCTATGCCGGCTTGTGGGATCTTAACAAAGGTGTAAAAATCATGGGAAAGAGATAGCATTATGCAATGGAAAAAGTTGCATGATGGGAGCTTGACCCCAATTTCCAAGAGTTACCCGTGTAACTCATTTTACCCCACAACACAGTGCAAAAACTTCCCAGAAGGCATTGTGCTGGATGGTGGCATGTGGCTGTCACACTGTGGGGTGCAATCCAGACCGGCTTGGTTGTCAGCATCTGCTTTATAATCCTCAGTGCCTTGTAAAATGCTCTGCTGCTGTAGCTTCCAGGCAGCATACAAACATGAACTGAGTGTCGGTGTGTGATAAGCCTCTCTGGACCAACAACTCTGACTCCAGCAGCCTGCTTCTTGCACCACAGCAACACTCTGGCCTCCACCAGCCTTGGTTTCACCTGGCAAGATGACCCCAACATCACTCACTCTGGATTTTCCCCCAAACCATGTGATCTGCAATGTCCAGCCCTTTGCTGGACCATTCAGAGGGATAATATGGTTTGTTTGCTCCTCTAAAGAGACAAACTGTATAGCTTACCACTTTAATTGGAGTTAATAATCACTTCAGTTCAAACGGCACTGAATTGATTTAGATTAAAAGTAAGACAAAAGGAAATAGGATTTCACGTGAGATCAAGTATAAAGACTAGACTTATAAATGGTAAAAGCAAATCAAAGTGAAAAACACTTTCTAGATATTAAGATTTAAGAATGCTACAGTCCTGGTTCAAGATAAGATTCTTCCCAAACCACTTCCCAGCAAGGTGGAAGCATATTCCTCCCCCTTTGTCAGGATTTTCTATAAAAGTCCAAACAAAAAAAATTAATGGAGATATCTTATCTCCTAGAGCTGGAAGGGACCATGAAAGGTCATTGAGTCTAGCCCCCTGCCTTCACTAGCAGGATCAAGTACTGATTTTGCCTCAGATCCCTAAGTGGCCCCCCTCAAGGATGGAACTCACAACCCTAGGTTTAGGAGAGCAATGCT